GTGGTACTCAAGGTGATTTACAATGTGTTTCTCATTCACCCATTCACACACACATTCACACACCAATGACAACAGAGCAATGTCTTGCCCAAGGAAACTGGATGAAACCACCAGCCTTGCGATTAGAGGACAACCCACTCGACCACCTGAGCCACAGCCGCACATGTTTACAATATTAAATGTCAGCACTGTGTCTGGTTTTAAATTTAAACGGTAAATTGTGGGGCGACCATGTGAGGTGGTGCTCTGCTCCCTGATTTCTCCCTCTTTTCAGTAACCTTAATAATATCCTCCTGTAGTATGTGATGTGCCATTGTTTTTCAATCTGGTAGCATGTAATGAATGAGATTAGAGAAAAGAATGTATCCTTTAGTAAGGAAGACAATGTGATTAAAAAAACAACTGTTGGGATAATAACACTCGTGTAGTCTGAGCCTGGCCTTTGGAGCTGTATTCCTTATAGAGTCTGTAGTTTCACAGCACTGTGCTGGGTCCTAAAACTGAAGACACAACAATTCCACAATGAAAGCTCACCGTCTTGTTTTGCCACAGCTCTGAACTGTACATGTTCTGCATATGTAGCTGTAAAAAGATATATTTTGTGGCACATTCACTCACCAAACGTCTGCATAGGTTCAGTGTTTAGTTTAGCCACAGAGTTAGTTTAGTGTTTGCATATTAACCTTCACATGAGCTTTGCAGGTATGAGTTAGTTCTTGGGATATTGAAATAAATGAGCCTGTACTGGTCTTATACTGACTGGAATAATAAAATTGAGTGAAATATCCATCCATCCATCCATTATCTATACACCGCTTAATCCTCATTAGGATCGCGGGGGGGCTGGAGCCTTGAGTAAAACATCTAGATTTAATATTACATTTTTTCCTTAGCTGTACCAGGTTGACTAAATTAACTGTAACATTTTCTTGTTATTATCGTACCTCCAATAAAACCTTAAAATGAATCTGATAATTAGCTCATTGTTTCCCAGCACAATTTCAAGAAGAAAAAAAAAATCATAACTAAGTGGATTATGAAAACATTTTATGGACCATAGATTAAAATGCTAACTCAACTGGTAAACATAGCTTCTCACTTGTGAGTCCTTTCCACCACTGAAACTATCTTTGTACCATAACTTGCATCTCCTCTCTGCAGCTTTCGCAGCAGGCCACTGCTACGAACCCTTCGTGAAGTACGGTAACCTGACCAGCAGCGACAACACTTGGGCGGTAGGAGCTGTGGTGGAGTTTGCCTGCGACCCTGGCTATACTCTGGAACAGGGATCTGTCACCATTGAATGCATGGACCCCAACAATCCTCAGTGGAATGAAACAGAGCCTGCGTGCAGAGGTTTGTATGTCTGCTTAAAAGATATGCTTTTTAGGCTCAGCTCTAGTTGCTATGAGGTGTAGCATGAATTTTAATTATACCCTTTAGTCCCCTTCAGGTACAGGTCATCTTCCATCTCTGTTGTCATTTTGCATCTCTTTGTGGCCATTCAGATGTTTTTTTTGTGGTTTTGTGTCACTTTATGTTCATTTTACTCCTGTTTTTTATTGGTTCACCTCAGTTTGTAGTTGTTTTGCATCAATTGACCTTCGATCTTTTGATTTGATCTGGGCAAGATTCTTTTGCATGCTTTAGTTGCATTCATTATTTGAGGACATGTCTACATTTTGCAAAACGAGCCATCATTTGTTTACAACTAAAAACATCAGAAGTGTATAAGCAGTTTGACAACTTACTTTGTTCGACTTCTGATTAAATGCACTGTGCACCTCATCTACATTGTGTATGTGTGTGTGTGTGTGTGTGTGTGTTTCAGCTGTGTGCAGTGGTGAGATCACAGACTCAGCTGGGGTGGTGCTCTCTCCCAACTGGCCTGAAGCCTACGATAAAGGCCAGGATTGTATCTGGGGGATCCACGTCGAGGAGGACAAGAGGATCATGCTGGACATTCAAGTGTACGTATCCACCTTCCCCATTGGCAGTTTGATCTCCCTCCTGTCCCTTTTTCCTTTTAACACGCATGAAACCACATTGCCACGGACCCTTTTCTTGGCCACTTTGAATCTAAACATCACAAAACCCGCTTCATCTCCTGAGCTGATACGTAAATCACTCCCCGTCTTCAAACACCCCCATAGAAGCAGTCTGAAGATTACAAAGAGCTACCTCACCATGACTGGTAAAACACATTAAAAACACAACACGCTGCTAATGAAAGAGCGCTCAGCTTGTGAATGAGATGCGTAAGTGCCACACAGACAAAGGTTAATTAGGTGCAGCGGAGAAAACTAATTATATCAGGGTGGATTTGTTTGGGAGCCCCCACCACTGTTCCCACTCCACCCCACCCCTCTCTGTTGTAATGGCTGCTGTGTGGAGTAAGTGTACAGCTTGGGAGTGTGTGTTTTCAGTGATTGTGGTGCCAAGGTGAAGACACAGAACAACACACCCTGCCGTGTCAGAGCCCGATAAGTCAGTCAGCCGTAGAAAATCATTTGCCATTTGCAAGCAAATTAAGGAGGACTCATTTGCATACGTTGCATCTTAAGCTCTGTTTTTTTTTGTATCTTTGTCTCTCTCTCTGAACAGCACCTGTGCCGGTGTTGTACTTTGAAAGCACTGATTAATGGCTTCCTCTGGTTTTTCAAAGGAAGTCTGCCAACATAAGTAATTGCTGCTGTTTATTTAGCAGAGCAAGTGATGTCAGGAGAAGTGAAGGTACCCTAGTGTAAGTGTAAGTATAGAACTGAATGAGAAGAAACATGGGCTGTCATGGTGGTTCCTGTAAGTTGTGAGTTGGAGCAGCCCGGATCGGCTTGTTCCAGCACATCTTCTAACACCTTGTCACCTGTTCATGGTTTGTGCCTAATCGGACCACCACAAGCACCCCATGAGACTTGCTGTTTTGGAGATGTTCCAAATGAGTTGTTTAGGTACAGTAGTTTGACCTTTGTTAAACTTGTTTAGGCCTTTAGACCTGTGCTTTTCTCCCATATCCAACATGTTACTATGGGAATCAACTGTTTACTTGTAGTCTAACATATCCCGTACCTTGAAATGCACTGTTGTTGCAAGATAATCACTGTCATTGAATGTGAATAACTATAAGGGATCATAAACTTATGTGTCTATGCATGTGCTAACCAGTGCCCTCTACACAGTGGGTTGCACAACTGTTTTACCACCCAAGAGTGGATTTAGATTTTTGTCCTTTAGCCTGCCATGAAAGCACAGATATGCATGACACTGTTCAGTTGCTTGTTTGTTTGAGAGGAGTTGGTGATGGCATGCTCATGGCAGAAGTGCTGGTTGAGCCTTAAATGCCAGAGAAGATAAATGATTTACAGTGCAGTGAAGAAGTATTTGCTCCCCCACAGATTTTATTTCATAATTCACGCTCCAAATGAGGATGTTGCGTTTGCAGATTTTTAAACAACTTGCCTTGTTGTGAACCTCTGGGAGCTGCAGCAAACTGAAAACTCACCGATGATCTTTAGCATTGTCAGCTATTCAGTCTAGTCTATCTGCCATTCAGATATCATGCCGTCCTGAACTGAGCGAGTCCTTGTTAGCCAGCTTTGCCAGCTTGCTCACCTAACGTTAGCTCCTTGATTGGACAGGATTCAGCTGTGGATATGACATGTTCACTAAACAAATTGACTCTTTTAAGTGTACTGTGGCTATTATCAGTGCTGCCAACTCCAGTGGTTTGTGTCCACTGGATCCATAATGTCTATGCTTCCTAGTTATTGTCATGTAAACAATCATGCAATGCATTCTAACAGCAGCACATTGCATTGTGAGAGATGTGGCGTCACGTTTCCCGCTCCTCATGTGAGTAAAGTTGAGTTCTAGGTTTTTTTTAATGCAAATCAGGGGTGTCCATTTGCTCTTGAAACTCCCAAAAAACGTTTAAAGTAACAATTGTTGATGTGAAAAGAAGAGACTCAGCAACTGCATGCCTAAAGTGTTTTGAGAAAGACTTTTTGGCAAAATTTTATTCAGAATATTATTGAATGTGTCTAAGCAAGGTGCCACGCTCGTCTGGTTTGAAATCCAGGAGGAGCAGACAGCCTACGAGCGAGGAGTTCATCCAATCAGATGCCGCCTGTGTGCACGGCTGTAGTCTGTATTGGCTTCCTGTTGGAGAGCGCCTGTCAGTCATCTGTCATAACATTGCCTTTTCATACGCCCATCAAGTGTCCAAATCCTGGAGAGCGGCGCGACCCCTCACATCTAAAAACATCCCTGTGGACACGTACCACGAGACTCATGCAACTGATGCTTTTCACATGCTCTCACGCCACACATCTATTTCCTTATGCAGTGAAAAACAAATTCATAATTGATAAGTGATTTTGTGAAAAGAGGACACTGACGAAGCACGGACAGACCAGACTGAGCAGGCAGCACCGAGCAGCAAAAGTTATTCCCAGCACAAAATCTTTTCTATCATCCATCCATCCATTATCTATACACCGCTTTGTCCTCTGTGGGGTCGCGGGGGGAGCTGGAGTCTATCCCAGCTGACTTAAGGTGAAGGCAGGGTACATCCTGGACAGGTCACCAGTCTATCTCAGGGTCACATTGAATCAATCAGCCAAACACACTCACATTCACCCCTACGGACAATTTAGAATCACCAATTAACCTCAGCATGTCTTTGGAATGTGGGAGGAAGCCGGAGCGCCTGGTGAGAACCCACGCACGAGAACATGCAAACACAGAAAGATCCCAGGGTAGGAATCAAACCCGGGACCATGACGCTCTCTTGTCACGATGCAAATAATATAAATAAGAGTTGGTAGAATTTGTAAAAAATAAGACTCTGTAAGCATGAACACAGTTATCATCACAGTTTAACCCTATTCAGGACTTTGATGTTGCCAACCGTAGAAGGTCTTGCCCCAAGAAGGAATATGTGCAAAATATTTGTTGGTGTTCATTATAGACTTTTACACTATGTTGAATACATTTTCTAATATGTTGACGTATTTTTGGTTCCAAGTGCATAACAAATGTCCCTCTTTTGATATATATATATAAAAAAAATCTTCAAAAATAAATAAACAATACCTGTCACTTAAACCAAATGGCCTGGGGTGCAAAAGAACCCATAAGCAAACCAATTTTTTGATTTATGATCTAGAGACTTTAAGTAGCCTATAGCTTGATGTTTTGGTAGGATAATTAAACATCCATTTTTATAATAGAAAGAGTCTTTTCCTTCTTCTCTTTTCTGTGCACATTGCTCCTGTTTCTTGGTGCATTTATGCGACAAACTGTCATTCGATGCATTAGCAGGAAATTGTCAGCAGTAATGAGAATCACATCAAGATACAAAGCAAAACAAACAACAGAAACACTGCTCCATAGTGCGACTAGCGGTTGAAAACTCCCCAGGGGGCCTTTAATATTCTCTCAAAAAAAGGCAGTAAGGTTGAAACTATAGCTCCATATAAATTAAATGTGATTTAAGATGGGGTTAGCAACAATTTACCACTTTTGTTGGATTGTTAAAAATGTCAGTGTCAGACACCATATTGAAACTAAAGCTACACCTGTGAAGTATTTGTTTTGTACAATCATGAAGTCAACATTTAAATTCTAATTGCCCTCTAAGCAAGTCTCCAAAAACAAAAAAAGAATTAAAGTGTTATGATGTTCACTGTTTTTTTGTAGTATGTCATAAATGCTGCAGCCTTTTGTTTGTGGGGATTTAAATTTAAAGTCTTGTTCTCTGTTTGGATAAATGTGTACCAGGATAAGCTGCAAAAATTCTGCAGCTCTAAATTTCAGGTGTCAACACATACTATGGTCCAGATTTCCAGAGAGTGCTCATGGGAATAGACCAAAACAGAGATTTCCATGGAGGAAAGCCTTCTAATCTAGCACAAAGCCTCCTCACTGTCTGAGCATATGCCTAGCAGGTGTCAGAGCATTTATACGAAGCTTATCAATAGCAGCTGTTCTCCCTGTGGTTCTCGGGGTTAGACGGTGTACAGAGATATATGAGGCCTTTAACAAGGTCCCTTGATATTGGTTCCTCACATTGCACAGACACCTGTGCCCACGTGCACATATACATATCTCCAGCTCCATCTGTTTAATGGCAGGGGGGACATTATCACCAGGGTGTAGCCAATGACTTTTATGGATGGCCTTCAAATGAAAGAAGAGGGAGTGAAAGATGTGATTAAACTGAACGTGAGGGATGTAAAATGATTGAAACCACTGTCTCTCCAGTGTAATGCAGACCATTGCCTCTGAGTAGAAATGAAAAACCAAGCTGTTTTAAATGACAGGAACTGCTAAAGTGGTAATTGGTTTGCATTATTAAAGGTCCCGTATTGTGCCCCCTTTTTTTTTTTTTTTAGCAAATTAGTGAAAGATTTTCAGACATCTTTCAGATTTGTAGCTCAAAATACTGCAAAGATATCAAATATCATATCACCATGACTGTGTAAAGCCTGGTACTAACCCTGTTCTAAATGGGCTGTTTCAGTGTCTGATTCTTTAAATACATCTGAGCTGCTGCTGTCTCCGCCCCCTTCAGGATGAAACCCCTCTGCGACTATGACTGAATTAACCGCACAGCAGCCGACACAGGCATGAATAAGCTTTTGAGAACAGGACTTTGTAATCGCTTTTGCCTTTCTTTTTGAATCATCATTTCACATGGCAATATCACCAAACTGACAGCACAGCTGTTGTTTTTAACCCATGTGTACAATTAATTTGTCAGACAGTGTCACAATTATAAAATCTGTATTTTAGTGGTTGAAGTGGCTGCTGGTTTTAATGTGCTGCATTTAAGTCTCTATTTTATAATAGTCCTGATGTCTGACAGCGGAAACTGAAAAACAGTGAAGATTTTAATGTTGTTGTGGGGACTTTTTGAGGATCAGTATTCCAGGATTAAAAATGACACCATATGGTGCAACAGACGTATACA